GAAGGAGGGAGACAGTGGGGGGGGGGCAGAGGGAGAGGGAGAGAGAGAATCCCAAGCAGGCTCCAGACTCCGCATGGGATGCGGGGCTCGATCCTACAACCCGTGAGATCATGACCTGAGCCGAAATCAAGAGACGGGCGCTCAATTAACAGCCACCCGGAGGCTGCTAATTTCCACAAGAATTTCCACACCGTTCAGTGCCCTGACCCCAGAAAGGACAAATGAGAAGATGGAGAGTGATGCAGACTGTGTGCGGTGATTCATGGGGCCGGGGACGTGCCCTCCACTCCACAGCTTATACAAACAGAACTGGCTGCGTTTCGCCTTTCTGCCAAACTAGGGAGGTCAAGCTTCCCTTGACTCCTCCTTGGGAGCGTGGGCCATGGTGGGACACCCTGGGGAGGAGCTGGGTGTAGGTCAGAGAGACTTGATTTTAATCTTAAGTCGGCTATCGAGTAGTGCTGTCTGGGTCAATCCCTTAACCTTCATTCACTCGAAAATATTTGCAGAGTGCATGGCATTGGTGTCACCAGCACGGACCCTGGAGCCTGCCAGCCTGAGTCAGCTTCCAGGCTCTGCCATTTGCTAGCTGGGCAAGTCACTGAACCTCTCCATGCCTCAGTTTCCTCACCCAACGCTGTCAGGAGGACTAACACATGCTATTTGTAAAATACAGTGAACAGCGTTGGGCACAGAGCAAGTACCACGAATGTGTTTAACACACAGAAGCAATAAAGATATTGGCACTCCAGTGGCAAACAAGAGAGACAGTGTTCCCCATTCGGTTAGAGATACGATCCTCAAGATTACATCTTACGAAGACTGGATCCGATGTCCAAAAGTTTACCCTGAAACTAAGTTATCGTTTCCGTGCTTTCCTCATGGCCCTAATGGGACGGTTGTTCACGAATCATCGTCTCTTCAGTGACGTGGGCAGAAAACTCATCCGGTAACAACATGACAACGGTAATAAGGTACTGACAAGGATCAGAATACGCTGCCCCCAAATATGCCACGAAGGCCACAGCTACAAGCCTCCCCAGAGCCTCCCTTACCTGGCTAAGTGCAGAAACTTCTGAAAACGAGGACTGTTATGAATCTCCCCTGCCTGGGGTTTTAGGGCCGTGAAGACAATGGAAAGTCGAAAGTCACAGCAAGATGGGTCTGCATCAACAAGCTCCAGTAGAATAATCCTTATCTCCATCTGCTTCCCCATATTTTTGCCTTCCCACCATTCAGCGCCCTGGGAGCTCAAAGCTCTCTTCCTTTCCTGGTCATCTCCCCACAAACTTACCATCCTTCGGTCGAAATGATATGTAAGCCCCAGGGCCCAACCACCTCTGTGGTTTTCGTTTCATTTCTGTGAGGCCCGCCATATGCATATGACACAAACCTTCTCCCGTGGTCTGTTCAATTTGCATGGCCCCAGTCACTGAACCTAAGAGGGTAGAGCAAAGATTTTTTTTTTTTTTT